GAAACAATCTTCATTTATGTATGCATTCATTTTAAGAACTTCCCTAAACAGATTATTGTGCATCATTTTTCCACAAACAAGGATTTGGAGAGAACTGGGCATAATGTTTGCCATGTTGTGACACAGAAAATTAAACTCATATTTTTTTCCTCTAATTCTCCACAAAGATCTTACTCAGGAGAGTGTACTTTGCTGACAGAAGCAGCAGTTGCCAGCAGCTCAGAGGTGCAGAATTTTAAGTGTGATAGCTCTAACCATGAGTTGGGCCTTGTCAGGACCAACAGAAAGGAGTTTCCTAGGGGCATGTGAGCCACTTAAAACAATTGGAAGGAAGTGACAAGTCATAGACAGAGGACAGTGCTGTCCACTGCAGGGGTCAGAAGCCCCATATCTGCAGATCTGCAGATTTATCATTTAGGGAGGTTTGCTGCTCGTGTGGGCCTTTCGCTGAGAATGTTGTGCAGAGGCTACCAAGGCTTATCTGCCTGTCTACTATGCAGTGGTGCCTTTCCATGTGTGTACCAAAGCCACCACCAAGGGCAACCTGAGAATTATCAAATGTAACTAGCAGGCTAGAGGGGAACTGCTGAAGAGTGTGGACACCCAAGTGGTTTTCTCCACTGTGCCCAAAGAGGACTCAGCAGAAACTGTGCATGAACCACCGGTTGCAGAGCTGCTGCTCATAGCAGACTTCTGAGTCCCACAGCCACAGCAGCCATGGTGAGAATCTGAAGGACATAACCAGGTTCTAAGGAGAGGGAAAGCTGGCAGAGAAAAAGAGATATTGTTGAGGTAGATAAGTAGATACCTGCTGTATACCAGATTAGGGAGGATCAGGTTAAGATATGCTTCAACATCCTGTATGTCCACAGGTTTATGGAGCCAGATGGGTTTGACCCAAGTGTGCTGAGGCAGGTGAAGGCCAGTGGCAGTGCAAGGCCACTCTCAGTGTCCTTTGAAAGGTGGAGGTGAGTGGGAAAAGTTGCAAATTAGAAAGTTGCAAATCTCAGCCCTGCCTTCTAACCATGTAAGAAGAAGATGAATGAACTACAGCCTCATGCAATCCTTTGGAAGATGTTGGAGAAAATCCTCTTGGAGAGCATTTCCAAAGGCATGAAGAATCAGAAGGTGCTCAGGTGTAGTCAGCCTGGATTTCTGAACAGAAAACCAAAAACTGTTTACAAAACAAATCCAAAACTGTTGAACCTCTCCCTTAGTGACCTGCAGGATGGGACAGCACAGACTCAAGCAAGTTCAGAGAGCATATAAAAGTGGAAGGAGTGGAAGGTGCAGTAGACAGCTGTGCTGCACTTCAGGGGAACCTCAACAGGCGAAATGCAGAGCTAGACAGGGAGGAATGTGACAAAGCCCAGCAAGAGCAATTGCACCATCCTGCAGGTAAGGAGGAGTAGCTCCACGCACTGGCATGTGCTGGGGACTTGTGAAGCTGACAAGCAGCTTTGCAGAGAAGTTCTGTGAGGTCCTGCTGGACAGTAAGCTGAGTTTGAGCCAGCAGCACTGGCCTTCTGCAAAAATGACCAACATTATCCTCAACTGTATTTAGGAGTGCATTAAGAGCATTCCTAATTCAGGGGAATTTGTCCTTCCTGCACCCTCAGTGCTGGTGAGGCCATGTGAGGAGTGCCAAGTCCAGTCCTGGGCTCCCCGCAGAGACGAGTTGTTGACAGACTGCAGTGGCTCCAGCACAAGCCCAGAGATCCTGCTCTTAAATAGTGCTGCAGCATGTCCAAGAGGCAATTCCTGATACTGCAACTTCACTTCAGCACCCCCCTGCAGCTTGCAGCCACCCTGTCCTAGGGAGGGATGCTACCCAGCCCAAGACAACAAGGGGAATCTGCTGCTTCCCACTGCAGGGCAAACAAGGGGGCATCATCTCCATGCTCTCCTCTGTCTGCAGCTCCTTGAGCACACCAAGGGTACAGCCTTCCAAAAAGAGAAATAAAATGAGAATGACAACTACTGTCTAGGTTTTATTCTGCAGTTGACAGCTGGCCTGGAGTAGAAGATGAAGATGTGAAGTGTTGTGATTCTAAATCCAGCAGGCAAGCTAACACTGCAGGGCTGTATTTAACTCTGTCTTTCAGGTTAAGCAGCCGTAACACCAAAGTTGCAAAGGTGCTGCAGGCTCTTCCTCTGCCTCCCACACTCTGCCTGCTGCTGCCTTTTTCTAGGCTTTGGTGTGAGCAGTGAGACTGTATCAGCCCCTGAGGAGGGACACAGTGCCTGCCCAGGCAGTCTCACCAGCACAAGGTTCCTTACAAGACCAGGAGGTCACAGTGTTCTGATGACATGGCAGATGCACAAAGTTCCCAGCACAGTCTTCCTCCAGCAATTTCCACCATTATTTCTCCTTACACTGGCCTAAAATATGCTACAAAAAACATTCAAAATTACATCTCAAATGCAGCCATGAGCATTTCCTATGCCCAAAGCTGTAACTGATAAACAAACCATTACAGTGAAAGACAGCTCCAAGGACAGGAGCACAGGGAACGGTTCTTCAGATTTTCACCACAGCTATGATGCCCATGGGAATCAGAGCATTGAACAAAAACAACAAAATTAGCTTTAAAGAGAGCTACAGACTTGAGATGGCTTCAGACCACACTTTTTTTTTCCTGGTGACTGGAGATGCCCAGCATCATGACAGTAAGCATAATGGGAATTTTGCTTGTATTGTGACGGAGGTTGCAGCTGCTATCCTGTGCTTTTTCTGTGCTGCTTCAGTCTGTTAAATCAAAATCTTGTCTTCAAATAAATAAATTTGGTAATAACACATTAAATCCTCCTCATGTGGAATATCTAAAAGAGCCTGGTCAGAGCTGTACTGCACAAGAGAAGAGCTAGGACTGCAAGACAGCAGCAGACACCTCACCACACAGAATGCATCTCCAGCAGCACAGAGTTTAGTCAAGGCAACACACACAGTAATTCAGTGTGCAATGGCCACCCCTTTGTGGCATCAAGGGCAACTGGGAACGATGTAAAAAGAAAGGGCCATCTGCATAACTCTGTGTACAACCCACCGCCTAATGTAAGGCCCCAGCTTGACACAAGCAAAAGAGATAGTAGGTGACACTCCTTTCTGCCCTTGATTGAGCTTAAGTTTCAGTCACTTCAAAAATACAATAATAAAACAACAATCTTGCATGTATAAAAATGCAAAACTCTAAATATATTTATTATTCAGTTATATTTGCTTTTCATTGCACAGATTTGTTTTTTATCCCCATGTTCAACAGTTTTTTACAAAGCTTTTAGGAGTTTCGAAACTTAGAATGATCACTCAATACTATTTAGGCACAGATCATGAACGCAAAACTCCATTTCCTCAAGGTTTTTTCCAGTGAAAGATTAGTGGTTGCAGTTAAGCTCCAAATTTAAATACATTTCACAGTCCACGCTTTTACAGGCATACCGTCTAAAAAAGAAGTTTTGATTAAATAGACTCCCAAAGCCTAAATAAAAGCACCTTCTTTTCCATAAATGCTGAAATCAACAAAACCCAAGGATAAAAACCATAGTGGCCAACCATTTTCTATGCTAGCCAGTCATAGATTAACAAAGAAACAGTTCTCAAGAGGATGTAAAAATCCCCTGGAAAAATTACTTTACTTTGGAAATAATTTAAATTATTTCGTATTTAAAAAAAATAAGCTAAAAAAAAAATGCAGCCAATAAAACACATCTGGTGACAAGGATTTGTCCTAGACATATCCCCTAGTTGATTCCATGATTTCTATGTGCCACAATAGAGGTGCACAGTTACAGGTTAAACAGTGTTTGCTTGCTCTGCCTGGGTTTAAGACATCTCCATAAGGTCCAGCATGGAGCCAGAGAGCTGGTGCTGAAGGGCACAGGTCAGTGTGGCCACAGGGCTGAGGAAGGCTGAGCAGCCTGGGAGGATGCAGGGGGCTGGACAATACAGCTGGCTAGAGGGAACTTGCAGCTGTAGACGGCTTCAGGAATGGGACAAGGTGCTGGCACCTGGGTGTGAAGGAAGCAGCAGCTGCAGTCATTAAGGACAAGTGATATCCCAGCAACCCTGGAGGGCTGTTCATGACTGGCCACGGCCCTGTGATCTTACTGTGGCTGACGCAAATCTTCTAGCACCATTGCTGAAACGCCTGCAGTGGGCTGGGGGTCCAAGTCCCTACTCATTCTTTTAAACCTTCCTAGCAAATTCCCCCACTGTCAACACTGTGGAGCTTTAAATGCTGTTCTCAATCTCTGATGACCCCCAGTTGACTGCAGCTGGTCTTTGGCAGAAGAAGGGAAAGAAGGCCACTAACTCACATGACACAGAGACTCTTCAGCTTCTCTGGCAAGAACTAGCTCACACCATGACCTTTTTAAAGCAAGACATCCAACACCAACTCTACTTTTCCTATTACAAGAGTGCTGGCCCTTGGCATCCCCAGCACCAGGTCAGGGCAGCCACGGCTTTCCCAAAGCACCTGGGGGCTGGGCCAAGCTGTGAGGTGAGAGGGGTGCATAAGGATCACTTTGGAGCTAGAGGTGCCTCTGAAGCTCAGCAGAGTGGACTCCCTGAGCAAGGGGACAGCAGCCGCAGGAGCCACATCGCTGGGCCCAGAGCAAGAAAAGAAGCTGGTAGCTGCCTTCAGTCTCCCAGTCTCCTGTCATGTGAAGGGACAGCAAAACAGGTCATTCCTAGAGTTTAACATGTAACTTCTCCAGGAGCAGAAGAGCAAGATTTTCCAAAGTCTCTCACTAGCATTAATACACAAGCTTCTGACATTGGTGAGCAGGCAAGCAAGGGGAGCCTGAAGAAGCACAGCAAGTCCATCAAAAACTGTCTGGTGATGATTAGGGAAATGTGACCACCACAAGCCAGGCAAGTCCATGCTGCCTAAAATATCAATTCTACCCCCAGTAAAAAACCTAGGAGGAGTTATCTGCAGGAACTAGAGTCTCCCCCTGTGTCCAGGGGAACAAAGAGCTGTAGGCCAGCAATCCCATTAATCATCTGTGTCCGTGCGGAGGTTTCTGAGCTCCAGCGACAGCTGTTTAATTTGGATATCTCTCTGGATTACCAACTCACGTAGTCGACGGATTTCTTCCTGTTGCCGGTAATACATCTGTAAAAGCTGTAAGAAAGCACATATTTTATTTCCTTTACACTAAAAAAATTAGGTTTAACCTGACAATGCCATCAGACTTGTTACATCACTTCTGAGAGAAACATCTAAGGAGGAGGCCTTCAACCAGCAGACAACGCCAGCAGTGCTCCTGTTTTCCACTAGATTGGGTAGTGACTGCATGTGTTTCACAGGAAGTATTTAGAGTCTGCCACATCTCCTTCTCTGACCTTGGACAACTCCTTTTTCCTTCTTCCAGTTGGGACTAGCATTGTCTTTCACTATGCATGCAGCAGAGCACTCAGCTCTGCAAAGGCTGCTTCTGTACCCTTAGGGTGCCAGCTCAGAAACATGCAGAAAAATATCCTTTTTCACACCACAGGGAAATTCAGATGTGGAAATTCCTGCCCTATCAAGGTGCAGATGCTAAATTCTTGCAGAGATGAAAGGTAGGGGAAGAAAATTATTCCAAGGTTCCTAAAAGCAAACAAACTGCATGTACTTGAAAATGTCCCTGAGCTGCCAACAGTGGGAGGCTGACAAATCACCACAGAGATGTACCGCTATGCCAGCTTTGATTACTATACTGAGAGGTGGTTTTCCATTATTAAAGACAGATCGTGGACCTGCCAGGATCTTTTCTAGAGGATTTCCCAGGTGCATGCTGCAGCCAGCAGCCAATCTCAACAGCACTGCACTAATAAGTTGACCTTCGGCAGTGAGCTGCAGATGCAGACTCTTTCCCATGTCAGGGTCCACAGTACATCAGGCAGTTAAGACTACATGGATGCACCAGGAGTACACCCACTCCTTTCACAGAAATCTCTGCTGCCTCACCTCTGCTGCAGGCTTGCTGACTGCAGTTCTCATCAAAGGCTTATCCTGCATAAACCCCAGAACCCTAAGGTCCCAAGGACCTCCTTGTGCCCAGCCAGTCACCAGGCAGGTCTGTGCCACAAGAATGCCTAGGAAGTGAGAATGCTGACTGCCCCCTCCTTTCCAGACACCCTCAGCTGGGGCGCCGCTGGGCTGTACTTCTGCTTCCTTGTGGCAGTCAGGCTGAGTTTTTGCCACCACAAAGAACAAAGAGCTTGCACTGACTCAGGCCTGAAAAATAACCCCTCCCTGAATTGCCACCGTGTCAATGGCATTCTTTCATCATCTGGCTTTGAGCCTAGCCTGTAGCCCCAACACTTTACCCTAGACATTCATACCTCACTTTCAGTTTTTGGTGGTGGACACTGAAATACATCAAAGCCATTGGAGAGGCATGTTTGTTGATTTTCTGGCAGATTCTCTTCCACTTTCAGCCTTTTTCTGCCACGTTCAATCTCTCTTGGCTTCTGCTTGTCCTCCACTGATATCCTTCCTTGTGCTTCCTGTTGCTGGCTCACGTCAGTAGCTTCTGTGAGGGGCTCTTGATCAGGAAACTGTGGCAGGGACTTCACAGCTTCAGAGCCTGGTCTCAAGGATACCAAGAGAGGCCCTAGGGAGGGAGGAGACAAGTGAGCACTCCCAAACCACACTCAAAACTCAGCACTAAGCAGTTCATTCTAAGAACCAGCTCTAACCATTTCATTCGAAGATAAACATGGAGGCACATGACCAGAGCAGCTTCCAGAATTTACAGCCAACAAATTATCTTAACTTCCAGCCATATTTACTATGCCTCCCCTTTTCCTTCTTTTCTCTTTCTCTGGCAGGTAATAGGCCAGAGAGCTGGCAGCAGCTGGGGAGTGTCACAAATGACACATAGACAGTCAGAAGGCTAACTGGTATAAGAACCTCCCATCTTTACTAAACTGCTTCTTTTTACACCCTGGTCAATACAGGTGGTCATTTAATATATTTCCCCTGATTGGCTAATTAACAAGACACCCATTTGTAAACAATCTTTTGAGAATAACAGGAAAATAGATACTAGAAAAACACCACCTACAGGTTGTTTTTAATAATGGGCTATAATTGTTTATCTCCAGCTCCCTAAAGTCTCCCAGGCCAATTCTGGGAAAACTTATCTAGCTTTCTCACTCTTTGACCAGGCTATCACATCCACAGGGGAGCTGAAGGGCTGGGGAGCTCTCCATGTGCTGACCTTTGTTAATCCCAGCGAGCCATTCTTCTGCTGTCAGTGCCGGTTGGGCTGCTGCAGTCAGGGGGTAGATATCTGCCTGGTATGATTCCGACTGGAAACAAACAAAAGTCCAGAGTAACTATGTCAGTGAGATTTTGGCTTAAAGATGTCATACTGGATTGTGGTGGAGAAATGAATTTATTCCCCTTCAGCACAAGGGAGTGCCATGAGCACTCACTGCAGGGACATAAAGTCTTTTCAGCTGCTCTGGACCTCTCTGCTCCTCACCTGAACTCAGGAGAATTGTATCTGGAGGCCTAATTTAATTCGTGCTAGTAAGGTCTTCAGACTCGGGGAGGTTAACGTAGGCTAACTCAAATCCCATGAAATCATGTTCCTGAGGGTGAATACATGGATACAAAGGATGGACAAGTCCCAAATCATCAGCTGATTATCAATTGACAGAAATTGGCCAAGGAGATAAAGCTGGAGGAACACGCCTGGTTGGGAGTTGCAGTGAGCATTAGTTCTCCTGTGTCTCTGAATGCAAGGAACTCGTACCTTCTTTTTATATTCTACTTTCTGGAAGTAGAGAGCACAGTACTGACATTTCCCATGTACCTATGCCCACACAGTCACACAGGAGCTACCTTGGCTAGCTACAGATTCAAGGCCTGTTTCTTTCTCTAATGACACCAGCTCTGAGACTGACTCCTACATCACCCTCAGTGCAACAGGTCGTGCCTTACATGCTGCAGAACAACCGTCTGTAACACAACTCTACCCAATGGGTAGACACCCATAGTTCCTATTTTACCAGGGTGATTCTTCCTTCTTCCACAAGGAGATTGTTATGCCACCCAAACACCAGCTCCAACCCCTCTCCCTCTTTTGTCATTATGTCACACAGATTCTATTGGAGAAGTTTACAGACAGCTAGCAGACCTGGCAGCATGTCTTGGAAAGTCAGATATTAAATTGAATAAACTCCTGAGTAACTCTTGAGTTACCAGATAGGGTTTGTTGGCAGGGCTGCCCCAGAAACAGGCCAGCTACATCCCCCATGCTAGGAGAGAGAAAATCTCTTTTTCTACCTACTCTCCTTCCCCCAAGAGTTGCAGAGAGGAGGCAGTGCACCCATTTTTTCACTGATATTTGCCTCAGATAAGAACATGATCTGAGGTCAACTTACCCGTCGAGGCACAATCATGGAGATGGGCTCAATCAGGCTTTTAGTTGGAATCAGTTTGTAAAAACGGAAAATTTCACAAGCTGCCACATCAAGACCTCTCTTTGGCATCATTCCTGGGGGAAGAGCATGAAATAAATGGAGTACAAATCTCCTTGGGAAAGTTAATGTCATCAGCCATGTGAAAAGGGTCATCAAGAAATGAAAGACGTCATAGCATCAGCACCACATCAGCATGGTTTGAGGTCTGCATCCATAACTGGCTCAGAGGCACAAATGACAAGACTAAATAATTACTTTTTTTTCTGTCAGACAATGTTGTTACATACATGCATGGGTTTCATGCTAAGCCTCCTGCTCCTTATTCATTCTAATGGGCTCCAAATAGAGTGAGCAGAAGATAGCAGAGCTGGCAGGTAATGCCACAGCATTTGAGTATCAGGATAACTAGGAAGGGATTTCAGGACACCTAAACAACACCAGAATAGCTCTATATGGCTGAAATACCTTCCAGGGAATTATCCTCCCCCAATTCTGTCCCAAAACAGAAATGAGAATGAGAAGGGTGTGAACATCAATTCTGCCCATTTGTGTTTTAGGGACTGGCTAAGCCACACAAGGTCTCCAAATTACCTGATAACCTCAGTGGGTTTCTCTCTCATTAGCTTGTACAGTTCAAAGCTATATCCACATCAATTCCCTTAAAAAAAGAGATTCCCTATGCTTGTAGACCTTGCTTCACGGCACCCAAGCTTAGTTTTCTACTAATACCCAGTGACTTCTTTAAGCAGCAGATTCTACGTGAAGGCCTGTTGCACTTAACATTATAAATTCATCTAAAAGTGAATCTAAACTCCACTCCTCCATACAGTATTTTGTTTTGATAATACGTTAAAGGAACTTTTTTACAATAACCTTAGCAGTACGCTTGATCAGCTCAACAAAGCAAGTTAGGGAAGTAGACTTCATTCACCTTTTAAAAACACCTGTACACTTACTTTGCATGAAATTATTTTTAAAAAGACTATGACAATGAGAAATAAGGATGTTGTACTGGATTATAAAAAAAGGATTATAAAAACTGAAAAACGAGCAGATCCTTACAGTTAAGTTTTAAATAATATATTCCTTTAATTTTTTTTTTTTTAAGGAAACCTGCAGGCACAAAATTCAGTGCTGCCAAATATCCATACCAATGTTCTCTATGAGTAGGAGTGTCCACAGATAGTGTAGAGGGATGTTAATGATCCTAAAAATATGTAGAGGAATATGACTCAGAGTAGACCAGACAAGGTTCAAGAAAGGGTTAACAATAAGGTCTGAGGGCTGAAAGCTAAATTCTGTGACATTAATTAAACAGCGGGTAGTACAAAGGTTAATAAGCAAGGGTCTCCAAGGGAGGAGAGGTGACCTAACCACAAAAGATCTATTTCTGAATAGGAAATGTCAGTAAAAAAGAAGGTAGACAGCAATAAAGACTGAAGGCATTAAGCTGTGAAGCATCTGTTACCACAAAAATCACAGAGTGGGAATGATGGAAATAGAGCTCAAAGACAAAAATCTTGAAACAGATTGACAAGTGGCAAGGAGCATTCTCTACCTTTAAATCCAGACTATCCTCCTTTCCACCTTGACTAGGTAGGTGAGAGGAGATGTAGCAGTGACTGGTAAAACTGCCCAGCCCATGCTGGTCAGAAGGGCCCTTTCCAAGCTCTGACCCTGTAATACCACCTGTCATATATGGGTGAGCTATGCCAAGCTGACTGTAAGCACCTGTAAACCTGTGTGGAGGTTCTCCATTCTCTTTTCTAAACAGAATTTTGGATATTCCTAGACTCTGGCAGCCTCTAAAATGAAGAAACCACAATCCTCTTGTAACATTAGACATTCTGGCACTCACCAATTCCCTTCTGTGGTAAGTGAGAATGATATTCCATCAGGTAGTTCAGGTATGGTTTCTCAGGGCTTACCTCATAGTACCGTATGTTTCCATCACCCTAAAGGCAAAGAAAATCAACATCAGCCGGACTCTGCTGTTCAGCATAGCAATCTGAGAATTCCTGGCCCCAAGCAACCATGCAGGATCAACCATGAAACAAATGCTTATTCTCAAATTCCTATACAGGAAGGTTAGGACCCAGCTGCGTACCTCTCCACAACAAACATGGTACATCTGTAAAGGTGGTAAATGTAACATGATGATGAAGAACCCTCTGGCCCCACCCCATCTGCTCATATCCTTAGGTTAACATGCTTCAGGAGCATCTTTGACCTCAGTCTGTCACAACACAGGCTGACAGCAGAATCAAACAGGCCTGCACTTGCTGATGTGGAAAGCACTTACCTTTCCCACCACATAAAGCATGTGTGTGTCAGAGTCATAGACAGGAAACAGAAGTCCCGAGGAGCCATCCAGATCCTCCTCCAGTAAAGGCACAGAAAGGTCATTCTGGGCAGGACACAGGAAAAAGAGTCAGCTGCAATCACCTGTGAGTCACCTCAAGTCCAGGACACCTCACCTGAGCCCCACCTGGCAGTGGCATGTGAGCACAGCTCTGTAATGACCCACAGCCATGCACAGACTGCTGCAAAGCTCTGTGGGTGAGAAATGGGTGCTCTGTCCCAGTCCTTGTCTGAAGTTCCTGCCACTATAACACCTCAGGTATCTGATGGCATTTCAGGGTAGATATGGTAAGAAACATTGCCTGCCTCTACACGGGCCAGACCGCAGGAGGTGAAGGGGCCTTCAGGGTACACCTGCACCACTGGTGTAAAATTCACACTGAATTTTACTCATGTTCTCTCAAAACCTCTAGTCTAGGCAATACTTTCATGACAGTGCACCACCCACAAGAGCAGTCTGCATCAGCCAAGCAATCTCAGCATTGCACAGTGGGAAGGTGCCTGATACAAGGACAGAACCTCCCACTGGCCTTTTGCAGGTAAGCCATGTAGGAGGACACAGCACACCACTCCATATGCAAAGCTCTCATGTCTTGTACAAAGCTATCTCTGCACTGCTGAAGGGAGTGATTTTGGGAGGCCTAACAAAGCAGAATCTGGTGTCTTATGGCTGTCCATGTGGTGATTCTCACATAAACATGTATTTAGCATAGGGTTAACACACATGTTCTCCTGCAGAACTGACCAGCTGCAGGCTGCAGTAAGCCAGGGTTTCTGTTTAGATGCAAAGACGGGTGTGGACATGGGAAAGAGGCCTGCTTGGGAGGCTCTGTGCCAATCCCTGTTCCTAAGGAGGCTTTACACACCTTGCTTCACAGATCTTTCCACTATGTTTTTAAACCAAGCACGTAAAACCCTGACATGACACCCATGAAGTGTCACAGCACTGCTTAGCATTGTGGAAAGCCTTCAGACAGCAGCATTGTGCTTTGTCTCTCACATGTGCAAAGAAGCCATGTCAAAACATAGCCAAATCATAGCAAATTGTAGGCCTGGTCTACCATCTTTGTCTGGTAACAAAGTGTGACAGCACTATAAAGAGACAAAAGATTGTGCTGCATGGTGGTTGATGCACAGAGGCATGTATAGATGCTGACAAAGTAAAAATATCTCACTACATATGAAAGGGCAGATGAGAGCAGCCATCCTGACAGGAGATCAGATGTCTTGGAAATGACCAATTAAGCACTACCTCAGGTACTCTACTGTCAGGAATCATCAGAAATCAAAAACACCCAACATAATTTTCTTCTTTGAGGGCTTCATCTGAGTATGCTGTGCCTAGAGCTCATTTCTCTTTCCAGGACCAGTTTGCCAGTAAGACCAGTAAGAGCCACGATAAGTCAGAGCTACAGTAACCATGAGGTCCTTTGAACAATTTCTTCTTGTAGTGGGCTGTTGTGGTTTAACTCAGTCAGCAACTAAGTACCATGCAGCCATTTGCCCACTTCCCCTTGGTAGGATGGCGAAGAGAATCAGAAAAAATTAAACCCATGGTTGAGATACAAATAGTTAAGTAATTGAAAAAAAAAAGGCAAAAAAAAAGAACAATAACAATTGTAATGAAAAGGGAGAGAGAGGAATAAAACTCAAGAAAAATAAGTGATGGACAACACAACCACTCACCACTTGCTGACCAATGCCCAACCAGTCCCTGAGTAGCAATCCATGGCTCCTGACCAAGTCCCCCCAGTTGAGCATGACGTTCTATGGTAAAGAATATCCCTTTGGCCAGTTCAGATCAGCTGTCCTGGATATCCTCCCTCCCGGTTTCTCGTGCACCTGCACACTGGCAGAGCATGAGACACTGAAAAGTCTTTGACTTAGGGTAAGCACTACTTAGCAACACCCCAAAATGTCAGTGTGCTTTCAACACTAAATCCAAACCACAACCTTGTGCCAGCTACTAAGAAAATTAATTCTATCCCAGCCAAAACCAGGACATGGGCACAGCATTCACTTTGCTCTCTTAGGCTTCTCTGTTGAAAACCTCTCCAGAAACTCAGTTATGTCTCACACCAGTAAGACCTATCACCCCTCAGGAATCTGACAGATCACTTCTGAATTCCTGTTATAAATCAATTCCTGTGTATGTGGCAGGTGGAAAGTTAAAGTGACAGCAAAAAAGAGAAAGCAGAAGCTGGTAGGGTTAAGATTTTTGGTCCAACTCACTTGATCCCATAATGCAATTTGCCTATTATTCCACCGAGACGTTCCAGTAGAAAACAGCATTTTCATGTTTCCAAGGAATGAGACTTTATTGACTCTGTGAGACTTGTAGCTTCCTTCCTGTAGAAGAGAAAGGACACTGCTTGAGTAAGACAATATCTGTTGCATCGTGACATTTTATATTACCTGACAACTCTCATTCACTCACATCTGAAAGATCTGCTCAGCCCAGCTGAACACTGGTGAGCAGGATTTCACAGGCATCTGAAAATAGTGGCCTAAACTCTTCAGGATCATTCCCAAAATCTCAACAACACATCACAGAATATTCTGAGTTGAAAGGGACACACAAAGATCATCAAGTCCAACTCTAAAGCGAATGGCCCATACAGGGATTAAACCCACAATCCTGGTGTTATCAACACCCTGCTCTGACTGGCTGAGCCAGTCTCAGCTCTCTAACTATTGATTCACATATTTGCAAGACAGGAGTCTTTAGTAGTTCCAGGCAGGACTTTCTGTGTACACAAACCTCTGCAAATAGCTACAAAATGCAGCCAGCTGCACCTAGCCAACAAAATCCAGGCAACAAGAACAACCATTGAGACATTTGTCATTGGGACAAATGTACACTTGCATCCACCTCTCCACCTGATCTCTACATTCCCTCCCATGTCCCTCTCAGAGGGCTGAAGAAGGTACCTATGAAAACAATACAATCCAAGTAAGGTTTCAAGGAGCAAGGAACATGGTATCAAGATACAAAATCCCTGTTTTCAACAATGACAGCAAGCATTCTGTGGAAAATAGAAGGGAACAACGCCATATAGTGCCTTGGGCAATGCAGATGCATCATCTTTTATGGCAATGAAGGTACCCAGGAGAGGAAACACTCCAAGAGGTGAGATCAGATGGACCATAAACCTCTGAACCCAACCTACCTGTAGGACTGTGCCAGCACGAGGGTCTATCACACGTATCTTTCTGTCCCTGCAAGCAGTGGCAAGGAGACTGCCATCTGTGTTGAATGACATGGAGAGTACCACATCTTTGTGAGCATCAAGAATCTTCACTGGGTTTGAAATAACAGCGTCCGTGACACCAAGGTTCCAGATCATTATCTGGAGCAAAAATAATTTAAAAAATCAGTCCTTTGCTGCCTCACACCCGGGACTTTGTGTATTTTATTCACTTCTTCATCTTTTCTCTACATGTATAGGTCTTACCATCATAAGTGATTGTTCTCCAGCACTTAAAATAATTCCTGATACTAACAGCAATGTATCAGTGTCAGCTAAGAATGTCCAATATTTTAATTTCCTTTGAAACCACATTTTGTACATAAAAATAGAAAACATCAGTGCATATATGTTCAGTAGCACAAAGAAAAGTGGACGGCATTGCATGCTGTATGCAATTCAGTAAATGAGAAGTGCAGAGTAGACTGAAGTTCATCAGAAGGCTGGAAAATTAGACAGTCCTTTTGAACTTATAGCAACATCCTTTTGCTTTTGAGTCACCATGAATATTCCCCCTGAAGAAAGCTTCCAAACTCTTTAGTACCATCTTACAGCTTGAAATTAAAACAAAATTTCAAAACACCAAGCCAAACAGGGTGTCCTAGGAGCACAGACCCACCTTGTAGTCATAGCCAGAGCTGAAGAGGATGTTATCAGCCGTGGGATGCCATTCAATCAGACCGACTCTTCGAGCATGCCCAAGAAGTTCTTTCTTCGGAGTGGTAATGTTTCTTTTTAGCAACTGATTGGGGATGTCCCAGATTTTAACCTGAATGGCACAGCATGGGTCTTTGTGAAATTCCTGAGAAGGAGCTAATTCGGAATTTATCAATAGCTATTAACTGCCTTGGAATTACTATTGCATTTGTAGTAAATAGGAATGCAATTGGCTTTTTTGAACACCTATCCTTGTTATTTGTATCTTTACTATTCTGTGGACCTGAAGACTCCTCTTTATGTTCTATCTTCAGACAACAGTCCTACCAGGGCTTCTTTAAATTTGGCAATCCAACCCTTAGACCTGTCAGCACAATTATGAAAAGTTATTCCCAAGGGGAAGAAATAAACCACTAATCTTGCAGCCCTTGCCTCTTAAGTGTACTGAAGCCACTCAGCACTGAGAGCGTGCTGTCTTGTAACAGGCCCACCTACAGCTCTGGGTCCTTCTAGAAGGATGCTGCATGAAGACAAAAATGCTCTGTCCTCCTCTGGTGGAAGAAAACAATAGCAGAAACCAGCAAGAGGGGCTGAACCTACGCGGGTATAAAAGGAGTCTTTCCCACACTAACCCTAGAAACACAAGTATTTAGGATGCTAACAGATGATTAATCCTTTGGCTCAATGAAAATTACTATGCTTGTGTCATAATTTTTCTATTTCTTAGCCTGAAGCAACAGCAAAATGCTCTTTGGAACATTGTTTGTGGAAATCAGCCACAGATGCCCAAGTCTCCTACTGTTTGGTTGATGAGGATCACACCTTTCTAAGACAAATAAGAAGCAGACCCAAATTCTGGGACGTCCTGGCATCAGCACCCTTCTCAGCAGTGTATTCTTTATCCCAATAAGGAATCAAGCCCACCAGAAATGCAATGGCTGTAGAGTCCAGCAGTATCTGCATGAACTTCTACAGTAGTTAGAGAAAATATCACACTTTACAATCAGACTGATTGATTCCTTACAGTTTCAACAGCTGTCACTAAAGAAATGGGGCTAAGAGACTAGAAAAGGGGAAAATAGCTTGTGTTCATGCTGACAAGAACTGCCTAGAATGAGCCACCCATTCCTCATGCTGTGAAATGATTGCTTATAAAAGCAGAGAAAAGCACCTGGCTGGAATCTCAGACTGCATTAAAAGGCAGAAATTTCCAGTTCTTTGGTGTGCAGAATAGGCAGGACTTGGACTCAGGCCTGCAGGGCAAGCAGGGACAATCCAAGCATGAACAAGCTGTCTACCCTGCTACCTCTCAAAGAAAGTCTGATAAAATGAAGTGAAAGGCACAGAGTTGCCCCTCTAACCAGAGGGCAGCAGAACTTCAACAAGTTGAACTCTTCATGCCTGATGATTTGCCAAGAAGAACAGAAGGGCTAAGATAAGCTCAAACTCTCAACCCCTAGGCCTTTGCATAGGCCTCAGCCCTAAGCCCACCTGAAACAGCAGGGAGAACTGGAACTCACTGTTCACAGAGAACATACAATCCTTCCCATGCCCAAAAGTACCATTCTACATAGCTCCAGCTGTGCACCACAAAAGATAGCTGTAGTGCTGTCAGATGAAAAATTGTCTGCACCTGGCAGGCTAACACAATGCCTATTCTTCAAAAACCACTGCCTGTGGAACTGCACAATACCCATTCTGTAAGAAAAAGAACTGGAAAGCAACCAGCCCAGTTGTGCCAAATTTTACCACTTGACTGGGTGGTCAAGTATGACTTTGAGAGTCACTGACCAGCAGGGATGACCAAAGAGATACCCAGGACAGAAGAACACATGAGTAAAAGAGAGAGAAAATATGTTACTGATTTTAGGGAAATTATTTCTATGCTTATTCAGGGAAAAATCAGTGACTATATACATAAAATATAGTATCTAAACAGGATTTTCTTTTGTAGTCAGCATGCATGATATTTCAGAGGAGATATCCCCTCATACACCCAGCTAAATAAAGAATGTCTGCTATTTAATGCTATGTTAGTGTTAAGAAGCTTTTATTTTTACCGATTTTTGGTAACGGTGGTACCACCAAATCAAGCTCCAGAAAGGCTGGTTAACAGTCAAGAAACCTCTGAGCAATGTGGGAGAAGTGAAATTTCCATTATCTACTCAGAAGGCTTGTAGCCTTGCTCAAAGGGAGGCCCAGCCCAGTAAGCATTTAGATGCATCCTTGTAGTAAGCCACAAGTCTTACTTGCACAGTGGCTTACTAATACTCAGAAATAGAAGAGAGCACCAGGCTTTTGACAACAGGCTGGAAGGAAGGCTTTTCCTCTTATGTCCAGCCCAGTGGAAGTGGTGGACACCTCTGTGACCCCCAAAAAACCTTTCTCAAACTTCTCTTAAAACAGAAGAAATATTGCCATGAAGATGTCTCAACAGTATGTCCAATCTGAGCTCTCCAGAACAGGCAGGTTAAGTAAGATGTTGACCCCACAGAACGAGTCCAACAGCAGACAAGAGATGAGAAGGAAGCAGTAACACAGCAAATCTGAGGAGAGCTCAAAAGAAAATAATTTGTTCAGTCTCTGGCTGCCCTTCAACTACATAGCATGAAGGGACAGAGAGGATGGAGCCAAACTCTTTGAAGGTACAAAAGGAGAGCATCAAAGGCAATGGATGTATATGGCAATATAGCAATGCCTGGAGATCAGATGCATCCCATTTTCCCTAGAAGGATACTCAACACCTGGAAGGAGGACCTATTGAGGCCACAGGATCTGTAGCCTTGGAGATCTTCTCAGCTCATTTGAACAAGGCTTGGAGAAACCCAATTATTTGAGTAGGGCATAGAGGAAGAGACATCCAAGGTCCAGCTATGAGGTATCAGGAAAGACAGTCACACCAAGAAACAGTCTGCTGTCCTTGCTACTTAGCAGGCAGGGAGGAGATGTCTCTACACCATGTCACAGTGCAGAAGACCCCTAAGATACCATTTTCTGGTGCTAGAATGAGGACGGGAGAGTAGTAAAAAGCAAGTACAGTCACAGACAGGCAGACTTCTTGGAACAACTTTTGGTACTGAGACCTGTGACATGCTACCTGTTTCCATTCTTTAGTCTGAGGAATGATCCAGTGTCAAGTTTCTGGAGAAAACTGGAAAGGAAATCTGGGGATAGTGCATCCAGTTTTGTACCCCTCAGTGCAAGAAAGATGCTGGAGGCCCACCCAGGATGCCCAGGAGACTGCAGCACTTTATCTTGCAAGTAAAAGCTGGGGAAGATGGTCATGCTCAGCCTGGAGAAGAGACAGCTTCCAGGCAAATTGATAAAAGCTTCAACACTTACAAGACTAACTGAGAAAACAGAGCCAGGCTCTGTCTTGAAATGCACAGTAGGAGGGCAGGATACAGCAGTCATTAACTGCACTGGAAAGAAAAAGATTCCCCTTGGGAGGAGTGAAGAATAGGAACAAGTGGTCTGCCTAGAGAGGTGGTGAAAGAAACCTCCCCTTCAACACAAATGCTTCTGTGATTCTGTAACTGCAGTGGGATGTTTTGAAGATTGTGTTCATTTCTCATATGATGCTCAAAAGAGTGGCCAAGGTGGTGCCCTCTGCCACAAGTAAGTCATACCATGCCATACCTCCTGAGATAGCATGAAAGCCTGGATACAGGTTGGCAAATACAATAAAATCTTCACCATCAGTTCAGAAACTGAAAGAAGCCTTAAAAGAAATTAAAAAAACCCAAAAAAACCACAGAGGAGTATCCAAACAAGCAAAACAAGCAGTCACAAAAAAGGAAGGACAATCAAAAAAGCTTATAATCAAAACTGACTTTTTGGCAGAATTAAAATGGCAGAGCATGTGAACCAAGCCAGGTCTGGAGAAAATAACAGGAGAAAACTCCCTGATTCTCTACGGCAGAGTGAGAATAAACCCAGTGGGATCTCACATGGGATCTCTGGAAAAAAGCATGGCAGTTAGTCAGACATTCTCACTATCAAAGACGTCAGCATCACACTTTTTACAAGACCTTTTGGAAGTGACCTTCCAGTAGGAAGATATGAGCTAAATTGTCCCTTACAAATACAACTAGAATCTTTCAATTGCCACAGTGTCTACATCTTACCCACACTAACTTCAGCCAAAGCACCCACTGCAGAAGTGTATGATGCATATTCCTCACCACAGCTGATCCAGCATGACCCTACAGAGTGCAGGAGCAAGCTCTGTGGGGAATTAATCTGAAAGACCTAGTCCAGATAATGTTGTGTTGAAGCTTTTTTTAAAGACAGAGTTTCAAAGAGATTAAACTTTAATAGCTGTTCCATTTTAAACTCATATTTTGTTTTCCTCATACAAACACACCATAAAAAGGCACAAGCCCCCACAAAATAGATCTTCCTCATTACACTGATTTGGTATTTCATCTGGAAGGCATCACACAGGTCTGAATTCAGGAGAAAGAAAGGAATCTTACTTTTTCTTGACTTCTTAAATAAGTATATGCATGTTTTCACATCTCACATCATTTCACATTCATGAGCTTTTGGTTTCTTTCAACTTCATTCTCCAAAAAGCACATTAGCCAGGTACTAACACACAGTACAATGTGGTAAACTTACTGTGGCATCTTCTGAACATGAAGCTATTACAAAGTCATTGAATGGGTTCCACTTGACGTCCAGAACATTTCCTTTGTGCCCACATACTTTGGGATAATGTGGGTCAAGCTTGCCTGTCTGGAAAAAAATAAATATAATCAAGGTGAGCCATGGAATTACAGGGCATTTTCATGGCAGCTCCAGAAAGAAACTTTCTGCTTGTTGTTCTCCAAATGCCCTAGGTGCTCTCTGCCTGTTAAAGATGGGGTTTTTGCTGTCCCTGATAGTCAAGTCTTGATGATACCACCATAAAGGAAAGAAAGTCTGCCAGGCCTTCCCAAGAACATGTTGCTGTGAAAAAATGTCCATGCATGCCTACACATTTGGAAGACAGTATTAGGTTCAGACACAAAGAGTAATTTAGAGGAGAAACATCTATGAATGAGATTAATCTTCGACATTTTTTAGAGATCTTTTGCTGGGGGGATAAACAACAGCAAACTCTCCTTCAGAAGTTATTTCCTACAAGCAGCAAAAAAAATTTATTTCGGTTTTGGGTTACCAAGGTATTTGTGACACAAATTACAAATTACCGTTTTTCTTTCAGCAAGCTATTTCTCTCTTATGGTGTTCAAATCCAGCCATTCATCAAATTCAATCAGCATTCTGGACTCTCAAAAAAAGCCCAAAACCATGCCATGTTTAGGTGGCAGCACTGGTACAAATCCCAGACTAAGTGCCCTAAGGTGTACTGGGAGCCTTATGCCAGATGGGGGCTGTATTGCATTGAACAAACCCACACTGCCGGCACCGTCTCTGCTGGAGAGTCAAGTCTGAATATTTAAATAGTAGAAAGGGTGGTGGTGATTTTATTAACATTGAAGTAATGCTTGCTTCCCTCTGTAGGAAGCAGGAAAAGCGTGGGGAGCCCCCTGACCCACCCCAGGCATCAGCTAAAGAGCAAAAGTCGGTCACTGAAGAAGGGAGACAGACATAATGGCAAGAGTGGTGGTGCTTACCAGCGTACTGCTTCCTGCCAGGAAGAACTGTAGACCAAAATGATTGCAAATGTGTGCTCTCCTAGAAAGCAGACACTTCTGTAGATGTACTACTCCCTACACCTCTCCAGAGGTGGGCCTTAGGAGAGCAGAGCTGAGGGGAATCTGTTACCCCTAAACAGGCCGTGGATAGGATATAATTTTCCCAGCTTTTAAATTTTGGGGGGTTTTTGCAATTTTGCATACAAAACAGGACACCAGTGTGTAACTATTCTGGCTTCACTGGAAAGTTTGTTGCATAAACTGGGACTAACCTGCTTTAAACTGAACATCCAAAGGGCTTTGAAATGTAAAAGACTGTGGTTTTTAAAACTACAGTCTAAACCAACTCCCTTTTATAACAGCGACAATGCAAAGAGATTTGGGAAGGCAGAAGAGAGATAAAAGGCCTTTAATAAGAAGCACTCCTCCACCCACAGTGTCCTTTTGTAGGCTTCAGAGCTTGGTTTCAAGATGACAACTAAAAGGGGTGGACAGCTGGATCGAGAGGGATCCATTGATCCTTAAGGGAACTCTGTCCCCTCCCAGAGTTAGCTGCCTGTCTGCTCCCCACTCCGTTTTGGGAGACTCCCAGGCTGTCCTAAGCCCAGTTTGCCTGACCCATCCTTCAAAGCTCTCTTACCCCACTCCCACTTACCCTAATCCCAGGCTTTGGAAAAGGAGCCCTTGCTCTCCCAGCCACCAGTCTCACCTGCCCCATTGCAAGCCCTGGGACACGCCACACATGAACCCCCCAAGAGCCAAAAAAACACATGACATAAAACTAGAGCTGCTGGTCTCAGATGCACATCTGCATGTGGAAGTGAAAATCTTCATTGCTAGAGGAAATTTCGTTCTACAGATCAAAAACTAGATCAGTAACTAGATGTGTTGTTCCATGAAGTGGTACCTGACTTCCACAGTTGCCTGCAGAGCTTGAAAATTAGCAGTTTTTCAACCACTCCCTCTCTAAAGTTCTAGCACTTCTGAAAAGCTTGGAGCTTGCTGACAAAAATCACTTCTAGTGGAACATCTGTCAAAACTCTCCCAGCAGATTTCTGCGGGGTAGATTACTGTGAGGTCAGTCAGCCCCACCTCTGCCCCTGAAGGGCACCAGCACAGCGCTCACACACCTGTCAGTTCTGCAAGGCCAGAAGGGTCATCAGCACTCTCATTTTACAGTCCATGTTCCCAGAGAGAAGGGAGGGGAGTTTGTGTCTATGAAGTCTGCACAGCCACAGATATGCTCCCTTTCACACCTGGTGCTGACACATGGAAAGACTGGAGATTGCAGATCTGGGTATAAATAATCTCCTGGGACCTTGTTTTCACTTTTTTTTTTTTGCTGCAGAGGAAGAGACAGATGCGGTCTCAACAGCCTGGTCATCAGGAAAGGAAAAAGGCAGGACTTCATCTTTCAAAGGAAGGCCACAAAATTTCCCTCCCAGTCAAGATCTTTCCTTGCCATGCTGTGCATGCACTTCCCCCACACATCTACACCCAGGCCACACTGTGGGAAAGCAGTTGATCTCTCATTTACAGTCACTGAGCTCATGTCTCCTCGGACTTGGGAGTTTTACAGTCAGTCAGCCTGTTCTGGGCACCAGGCAACCCCTGTGGCTGCAGCCCCTTGCCTCTCTGTTAAGATGTGCTGCCCTTCCACCATGTGTGGCACATACTCACCAGGATGTCACTGTCACACCCTGCTACAGACCATTTCCAGAGTGATGGCAAATATTCAACTAATTTCTTATAAGGCTGAATGCAAAGGCCTGCTATAAGGATGGTATCTAGGGCAAAGAACTCATTCTTTACATAACCTCCACTGTCCCTAGCCATACCCCACCCCCAGGCTCTCAGAGAAGAAGACTGGTGCAGAAGGAAAGAAGTGGTATTTACTCAAGAGATGAGAGACCTTGTTGTCTGTGACTCAGCAGGAGTACAACAAACAAGCAAGGAGGTGCAGTTAAACAGGACAAAGCTGAGGCTTCATTCAAGGATATCCTTAGACAGGCAGCCACCCTAGCAGCAATACATGCAGAATGAACTAAAAAAACATTGGAGGGAGGGAAAAGAACAGCTCCCTGAACAGGCTGTTTATCCTCTTCAGCAACTGTAGCCCTCCCTGTCCTGGCTACTACCTCTTGCTTTGACCAAATGTCATCCTGGCTCTTGGGCTCTTGGGCTCTTCCTCCACACTTTGTCCCACCTGGGACGTGTCTGCTTCCCATGAATCCAGTGAAAAATAACCACAGTCAGCTGTCCATTGTAAGAGGGCAATACTGTCCCAGACAGGTCTGCAGAACAAGCTGCCTTTATGCCCTGGCAGCCAAGGCCACAAGCCAAGTGTCCAGCACACTGTCTGCCATGGCTCACCTTCACAGCAAGAGATGGCAGTCACAAAAAGCCACCATCAGAAGCACAAGTCAAAAGTTTCTGCTTTGCACCAGACGGTACCACTTTGGAAGTGGAGTAGCCAAAACAAAGTAGCTGGTATGGCAGGTCCTGACTCAGGGAATCCCTTTTTATGGGAGGCTGAGGATGCTTTACCCCCCAGCATAGGTCAGGAACAGGTATTCAGAGAACAGCTGTGTGAAGCACCTAATTTCTCTGATCCACAACCTAAGATTAACCCTTAAAGGGCCAATTCCTGTCCATAGCTCCATTTTGAAGCCATTAATTCTTCTAGACTCATCAGCATCCAGAACAGAGAGCCCCACATCTGAACTGCAGCAGCATTTACATCTGCTGCTAACAGTCTGCTCCCTGGTCTCCAGAATCCCCTTCACCAAACAAATCAAAAGGAGTTGCTCCTTAAACTTCTTCTCCTCACAGCTTTATACATCTTGCCTTTTTTACCAGACTGACTGAAGCATGACCTGCAAAGTCTTTCCTCATATGAAAGTACTTTTACATTTTCATTGACATACTTTAACTATCCTTTTCTGTATCTTTTTTAGTTCCACCATGCCTTTGACTTCTGCATTCAATATTTCAAAACTGGGTGGAGTATCTGAGCAGGTGTAAGAAGGAAAAATTACTACAAAGACTAGCCAAGCTGAGAAGAGGTGAGAAGACAGGAAAATTAATAGTAAGCAGTACAAGCACCTTCAGCTACTTTTGCCAGCACTTTCAGAGCTTGGTCCCACACCACATCCCCCACAGTCAATAGCTGTCTGCCTACAGGTGCAGTTCTGTGATAAAGACAAGTTGTTGAGCCTCAACAGACCATCATTGCGGGGGCAGAAGTGAATCAGTTAAGAAAAACAGGGTAGTGGTTAATTTTAGAAGGACAGTCTCTAAACTGCACCAGCATTGAAGGAATGAATTAACAAAGTCCAGAAGGGCCGGAAACTGTGCTAGGTTCTTCAAGCACAACCAGTTCACTTTCATCCTTAGCAAATATATATTAAAAAAGTGGCATTACAATAACACCATCCATTAACTTTTAATTAAAGGCTGAACTTTTGCCTTTCATCTGTTCTGCCCTGATTCCAGAGAGATCATAATCCCATACTGAAGTTAGTGCATGCCTAATTTTACTGAAGCAATAAACATCAGACAGCCAGCTTCTCCCTCTCACCACATCCTAAGTCATGAAATCTCATATACATGGGATTTGTTTCTGAAAGGGAACTCTTCACAGCAGCACTGCTTGAAGTTTAAGAGCTTCATTGCCTGATAACTGTCTCCATTCTTCCACAAAGGAGATGATAGAACAAAACATACCATATTCTCCTTTGGTCATAGCTGAATCCATGTCACTAAAGCAGCTTTCTGGTTTTGCCCCCTTTATCCACTACTTTTTAATTTGCAGTTTCTCCCAGGAGACAAACATCTGAACAGCACATTCTGCTGACTATACAAGAAAGGCAAATGAGTTGTAAAATGAAGCAAGGTGTTAAAAATCTGCAAGCAGCAATGCAAGACATACAAATACACACATGCCAGGAGTCACCTGCTAGGGCAACTGGGGCCTCTTCCATCATTTTGCAATTTGGGTAACAGCATTAACTGACTATCCTCTGTGACCCAGCTCCCTAGAAGATGTCCCTCCTCCAGCCTCCTGATGGGCTCCCGAAAGCCAGCTCTCCCTGGGGAGCTCACCTGCTTGATGGGAATGACGAGGAAGGCGCCGCCGCCCACGCACTCCGTCACCACAGCGATGAAGCTGGGGTTCACGGCGCAGAAGTGGTTGTCATTGATGTTGTGGGTGATGGGCACGCAGTCGTAGCACTTATCCTTGCTGGCAGCTTTGCCATACACGTGGCGGAACTTGGAGCTGCGGTACTGCGGGTGCCACGACATCTGCAAGGAGAGAAACACAACATCCAAGGCATAAGGACAGGCCATCTTGGCAAGGCTTGCAGAGCCCCACTCCCCTCTTCCCACCACAGGCTCACCCTCCCCACCTGGGCTGCTCACACCAACCCACAGCCAGCAAGCTGTAGATGCAGTTTTTTTCTGGTGTTCACTCCTTTGCCATAACCCTGTTGCACATCTCTGAGGGAGAGAGGAGAGTGCAGGGAAGAAGTGACAGCTCTCAGCATCACCAGCCAGCTGGACTGTGCATGTGCCAGCAGTCCCCATCACTGGGGTAGGGCCACATGGCAGCAAGTTCAAGAGGAGATGAATTCTGGTACGATAGAGTTCAGAAAGCATGAAAAATACATCATCTTGAGCATGGAAAGCATGAAAGACGGTGAGTGAACAAGCCAGTCTGGATGCATGCTTTGTTTAGCCCTCAGGTGGTTTAGGACCAAAACTTATTCTAAATTTTGCTCACATGAACAGAAAAAATAAGTTTGGCAGATCACAGGAATAGCTACAGTCACCTGTTGACCTTTTTTCCACAGACAATTATGTTCTGCGTGTCTGGTTTATAACTGCACTATAGCCCTCTGACAGAATGCATTCTAAATGGTGTTTAAATGACACATAAAGCATGCTAAACATAAGAACCCCTTCTCACAGAGAGCAGTGAAGCTTAATGGAACTGATTTAACAGATTTCATAAAATCATACAGTCACAGAGTCGTAGAATGGTTTGGGTTGGAAGGGACCTTGAAGACCATCTAGTTCCAACCCCCCTGACATGGGCAGGGACACTTCCCACTAGACCAGGTTGCTCAAGGCCTTATCCAAACCAGCCTCAAACACTGTCAGGGATGGGGGAACCATAGCTTTTCTGGGCAACCTGTTCCAGTATCTCACCACCCTCACAGTAAAGAATTTTTTCCTAATATTTAATCTAAGTTTCCCCTCTTTCAGTTTGTATGTATTAGTCCTTGTCCTACCACTACACTTCCTGGTCCCTGTAGAACCCTTCAGATACTGGAAGATTGCTATTGAGGTTTCCACGCAGTCCTCTTCTCTGCGGGCTGAACAGCCCCAATTTTCTCAGCCTGTCTTCGCTGGGGAGGTGCTCCAGTCCTTTTAGCAATTTCACAGCCCTCCTCTGAACTTGCTCCAGCAGTTCCATGTCATTATTATGCTGGGGGCACCAAAACTGTATGCACTGTTGCAGGTAAGGTCTCATGAGAGCAGAGGGGTAGAATCACGTCCTTCAACTAGCTATTTTCAAATAGCTATTAGTGCTGGTCAGAGAAGGTAATTAAGACTATTAAACCCAGATCCCACAAGATTTAGAGAGTAAAAGCCATACAATGAGTGTATGGATAAGATTCTACTGCCCAAATGAAAAGAAATGCAGAAATGAAAAGAAAGACAGGAAGATTATGGGTGAAAGAGCACCTCGCACAACAGCTGGGAATGTAGGCAAATACTGTCAGAAGGCATGGTTTTGCCCCATATTGACCTCTTTAATGTGCATTTGGTGAACAGTATTATCAGTGATACTGGATCAACAATACTCCAATTTGACAAGGGAACCCAACCAATTAGCTTTTGAGCTACTGCAAGGCTTAGAGAGCTCGCTCACATGGTTGAAGGGTTAAGGGAAGCGTGAATGCACTCAATGGCAGGAAGTCAAGTGCATCATCACCTGACAAGCAGAGGTCTAAGCAATTTTAAACCAAAATGTTCATGTTGCTGGCATGGTACTGCATCCTCCTGGGATGTCTATCAAAGGCTAAGGAACCAAATGGCTCGATACTGGGCAGTCAAACTGGAGCTTTACAAGCTCTCATCAATACAAAGTTCCACAAAGCTGTGTCACACTGGAAGATTTGGGCTGTGAACAGTACTAGGACACAAGTTCTATCCTATTTCCTGCCTCCTCCCAGTTCTACTGACACAGCTCAGAGCCAACCCCACCTTGGACAAATACACATGCCTGTAGTATTTGTGTCCTGGCAGATCACCAGTTGCTTTCATAGTCATCCTTGTTGCTCTCTGTTACCTTAGCATGTTTTACCTATGCTAACCCTAATTTGTCCATACTTTTAGCTGAATAAATCTCTTCCACAGAAAACACTAGGTCTTTTATACAGTGAGAGATACCTGTGCCAAACAAAAACAAAGAAATGCAAGTTATTTGAAGAAGAAAGCAGCAATCCTGAAAGCTGATCTTGGAAGAAGGGATATTCACAGGCAGAAAGCAAGTTGAGGTTATATGCAAGTGGCTACCTTCCCAAACAGCCCCAGAGGTGCAGTGTTCTCAAACAATTTCATGTTCATTACAGTTTTAGTGGTTAGGCTTACTCACACCAGGAGGAGGGGGAGGAATCACTGTATTGCCCAGATGCAGCAGTATGCAGCAGTTGCTTCTTACAGCAGGACTATTATCTTTCCAAAATGAACTAAATTTCCTGGCTGCAAGGTAATTCTAGCTACACTGCTTTTGAGCTAGGAGAGAGTGTGTGGTCTGAAGTTTCAAGCCCCTTCTGGAGAAAGGAGTCACCAAGCACAGAGGAGCAACTATTGAGAACGCCAGGACTCTTCACCTTGAGAAGCTCAGAAGGATCTCATCAATGCACACCAATACCTCAGTATTAAAGTAGTAGTGGAGAAGACAGAAGCAGACTCTCCTCAGCAGTGCCCAGCAGCTGGACAAGAAGCAATGGGTACAAACTGAAACTCAGAAATCTCTATTTATATGCAATGAAACACTTTTTCTCCATGAGGGTTGTTCAACACTGGCACCAGTTGCCCAAAACATTATGGAGTTTCCATCCTTGGAGGCATGGTCCTGGGCAACTTTTCTAGTTGATCCTGCTTTGAGAAGAAGGATTGGACTAGATGATCTCAAGGGATCACATCCATTCTCAACTCTTCTGTGATCCTGTGATTTTAGGGCCTCTGGATCTCAGCCATGTGTATCTTGTACTGTCCTAAAAATGCCACTGCCAACATACAAAATGCACACCCATACAAGGCAGACTTTCAACCCAATAAACCAGAAGTATGCCTTTCAGGCTCAGCTTTCTCACCTGTTCCTCTGGCAGGAAGTGATGACAACACATTTCTTCCTCGTTCATAAAAACTGTTGTTTGGACAGGTAACCATTTTTTTAAAGTGCAAAAAGCAACTTTTGGTATAAGGAATGGTGGGGGGAGGGGGGAGAAAGTGACAAAAACTATACCAATATTTTGTCAGTAAGACAGGATTGCTTTTATATTGCAAGAACGGGCACTATCATCTTCAAATAATTAAAAGGCATTGTTTGTGCATTTTAAAATGTCTGAAAATTTAATGTTTTGCCCAGTCCCTTAACAATATGCTTTCCCTGAATGTTTTTTGGACTAAAAAGCTAAAGCATTAGCTTTCTCCCTGCACTGGAGGGTCAGCCCCAGTGTAGAGGGTCTCCCCTTGCACAGCCATGTTTGAGCTGTGTGAGCCCATATGGGCAGAGCCCAAGGACCTGAAAATCCCGTGTGTGCACCACTGGGTAAGGCCTGAAGCCAGAGCTGAGGGATTCCCAGCTGACCTCACTGCTTGTGGCACAGCAAGATGCCAGGGTGCCCACAGCAGGGGCATGCAGACCACCCGTGAACACTGGGCAGACACATGGACAGCAGATTTTGAGAGGCTGCTGGAACTGAGGTCCGGGTCCTGTTTCTGGTCAAAGAGGTGGAAGACCTCCCTCACTTGCTGCTCAGGCCTCTGGTGCCAGCACATAGACTGATCCTGAGCTGACAAAAGGATAAAAGTCACTGATGAAGGGATCACTGACCCTCTGCCAGGGTAGCACAGAGCCCTTGGCATCCTGGGGAAAGAAGGAAGGCAGCACAGCCTTTGCAATCCAGGAATCAACCTCATGCCTTCCCTCCTCATCATCCTGACCTAATTCCCAATATTGCTAGCCTCCCTGTAGAGGAGGGGAGAATCAGGATGGAGTGAGACAGTGCAGATTATAGTACTGTTCATGTATTTCTAACCATACAGCTGATGTAATGACTGTGCTTAGCAATGTCCTCTCACTCAGCTCTCAGGGAACATATCCTGGGACTTTGTGGACTTTTTATTACCACCTCTCCCAGCAAAAAACATTAAGTAGATCTTTTCCTGAAGCTGCCAAGAGTTCCTGGAGAAGGATGCAAAGATCCCTACAAGCACTTCTCAGATCCCTGCTTACCAGGTCAGATACCAGCTTTTTCAGGCTGGACAGTGTTTCCAGACAGCTTCTGCCTATTGAGATGTGCAACCCTAGTGATGCCTCAGGTTTTAGCTTTTATATTTTTCAGATTCTGTTCTGCTTTAGTCTGTAAGTCTAGGCTTCATATTATGGGATAGTAGGCTCTCTTCACAGAATAGGTAGACAAAACAATTCCTCCTCTACCTGGGGACCAAGGACAGCCAATCCGGATCTCAGGCCCAAGAGCATAAACAACAGTGGACTGAAGAGAGAAAACAAGAAGGATTGGACTTCATGGGCTAAAGCTGTAATTGGACAATTAGCTCCAAAACTTATAAAAGTGAGAGACCCTGTGACTGGTCATCCATTTTTGTGGCCATTTTGGGTTGTGCTGGCCAAGGTGGATCTATTGAGACCTCTTAATAAATACCTGTTTTATTCTCTAGCTCTGTCTAGTCTCTGTTCTAGGTCAGCCTTCACAAGGCATCACTAGCACTGGAAACACTATCTCATGAAAGAATGTGTTGTACTTCACACAAAACAGAGTAAAATACATCCATTTGCTTCAGAATTCCTCACTGCTGGCATGAAGAGAGGAAGTAGCTCCTCTGCCTCTGTAAGCAGGACAATGGTAAGAGATATAGCAAGGACACACAGTTTAAAATTGTTTCTGTAGCCTCACTGTAGGCATTCCTGGGTCTTCACTCCAAAAGAATACTACTACTCTGAGAAGCAGATCTGATTGTGAGGAAAATCTCAACTACAGAGCAGAGGAAACCTCATGAAAGCTTGATGCAGCAAGTGCAGTCAGCAACAGGCCATGGAAGGAAGAGGAGCAGAAGGGAATCAACCAAGAATCTGTTGCTTGGTTATCTCTTTTGGTTCTTTAGGGCAGAGCTCAGCAGCTGGGTCTGAAATTACGAGATAAAAAAGCAAAGCCATAGCAAATCTCAGCCCAGTACTCAGAACAGGTGAGAATTTTGTTTCTGGCACCTGAAAGGGTGCCCAGAAAACCACTGAGGTATTTTGATACCCACAAGCACAGCCTACTCAGCTCTTTGGTGCTTACCAAACATGACCATCGAAATGGTTGTGTGACCTCTAGAGAACAGGCAGGTAAAGACAGACTCCAGTTCCACCACTTGTCTTCAGAAACACAGTGCAGTACCACTGAAGGGAGTTTGCTCTGCTTTAGCTCTCACTCTTTTACATGGCTGTTTCTGAAATGTTAGCTTTTCATGACTCACCTGCAAAACACGACTGCAAATGTCTCAGCCCTTGCCAAAGGAGTGAGCTCCTAGAAGGGCTGTGAGGCCTATGGATGTCTGCAGCACCTCAATGCATTCTTATGAGAGCCATGCTGTGGCATATTTACTACTCCTGAGGAAATGTCAGACCAACCAAACAGGCATATGCTTGTACAACTGAACTGAACACGTGCTTCACCATCACCGAGCATGTTCCCAGTTTTCCAATTGCATCCCACTTACCCTAGGATTACAGATTTGCCTGCACCATTGTATTGGTTTTACGTGGCCTGGTTTTGGTAGCAAGGGGCTAGAGGGGTGGCTTCTGTGAGAAGCTGCTGGAAGCTTCTTCCATGCCCAGTAGAGCCAATCGCTGGTGGCTCCGAAGATGGGCATGCCACTGGCCAAGGCTGGACCAATTAGAAATGATGGTAAGACCTCTGTGACCACATACTTAAGAAAAATTGAAAACAAAAAGTGGTTGCAGAGCTGTAATTGCAAGCAGAGAAGAGCAGAGAGAGAACATGTGGGAAGAACAACTCTGCAGACACCAAGGTCAGTGGAGAAGGAGGGACAGGAGCTGCTCCAGGCACTGGAGCTGAGATTCCCCTGCAGGCCGTGGTGAAGCAGCTGTGCCCCTGCAGCCCATGGGGATTCACAGGGGTGCAGAGATCCACCTGCACCCCATGGAGGTGCCCATGCAGGAGCAGGTGGATGCCTGGAGGAGGCTGTGATCCTTTGGGAGACCCATGGAGAGAGGGGCCCTTGGAGGAGTACACCCCACAGAAGAGTGACCCACACTGCAGCAGTTTGAGAGGGGTTGGTGCCCATGGGATGGAGCCACATCAGAGAAGCTCATGGAGAGCTGTCTCCCATGGGAGGGATCCTGGGTGCAGCAGGAGAATGACTCCTGAGCAGTGGGAGCAGCCTCAGGAGATGAACTGACCATAACTCCCATTGCCTGTTTTCTTGCACTGCTTGGGTGGGAGGTAGAGCTGGAAGGAGGGAGGGGTGTGGGGAGGGTGTTTTTAGGAGTTTATTTTACTTCTCATTATCCTGTTCTGAGTTTCTTAGTAATAAATTCAATTAATATCTCTAAGTTAAGCCTGTTTTGCCTGTGATGCTATTTGATGAATGGCCACTTCCCGTTTCTTAATCTCAACCCAGGAATTCTTCATTAAATTTTCTTTCCTCTGTCCAGCTGCAGAGAGGAATGAGTAAGCAGCTTTGGTGAGTGCCTGGCATCTACCCTGGGTCAACCTATTACAACCATGAATGATATTTGTGAATTCTGGATGAATTTATCTTGGTCCTGGAGAAAATAACCACATGGAAAAAAGTGAAATATGTTTGAGGAAACCCAGACATATGGTAGCTTAATCCAGATCAAACGGAGAGCACCCTCTACTCTGGCACCACAGTGCTCTGTGAAAGACTCACAGCAGCAGAGTCAGCCCCAATAGTGTAAAAACAATAGTGTAAGAACTTTGTCAATGCTTTATTCTACCATTTCTCATCTTTGATATCCTTAGTGTTTTTGATATCCCTGGCAGTGTCGGGAGCAGACCAGGAAATTATTTTCTTTACATCCTGGGAAAGGCCTGAAAGAAGATTGATGGGCACCTTATCTCCTACAAATACCAGTTCTTGGGTGTGGCCCCACACACTGCTAGGAGGCGACCTGTCCAGCACACAATCCTGGAGTGCTTGTGGTCTGGCACCTTCAGCCCCATCCACAAGCTGATTTCTCTTACTCCGAGCAGAAAATTAATATGTGAGAGAATGGGATTTATGAAAACACAAGCAAACAAACAAGCAAAAGACCACAACACCAAACAATCGCAAAACCAACCCAAAAACCAGAACAAGGCACTTGAGGAGAAGCAGATCATAGAAAGTATCTGATGTGGATTAAAAAGAGAACAAATGATAGGGGTCACATCCCATCTGGAAGGAGGTGAACTGGAGTGTTTTGGCAGCAATGAGATCTCTCACTCTGCTTCCCCAGGGAACCACAGCTGGGCAGTATGACCGTGCCAGCCCAGGAAAGAAACAGCCAAAAAGAAGAGCTCTCCTCATTCCCCTGTGAACAGACATGCACATCTCCAGCTATGATGGCACCAGAAGTGTTGGGAGCCAGGACTTCCATGCATCCTGCTGCTGACTGCCAGGAAGATGACTCATTTTCTACTTCCCAGATGCCCACAGCAGGACTATCAGGTACCAGGCCCCCACCTGCCAAACAAACCCCAAGGGCTCAGCACCATGGCTCTCTTGGAGCCAAGAGTGTCTGCTGCCACCCATCCCAATTCAACAATGAGCCTAGTGCTGGTGAAATGTTTGTTGGTGACTTTATACAAAGGGAAAGGCTGAGCAACCCCATCATTCACCAACCTGGATGTTCTCCATGTATTTTCTTTCTTTAGAGGTATGTTCCCTCTTCTGAAAATACAAGCAAGAAATGAGGTAGGCTGGCTTTGTGCTGAAGTACCAAGTCATGGCATGAGTTGTCTGTATTTCCAGAGAGAAACGACATGAAACAAGTGTGCACACAAGAGGATGCTGTATACTGTGTGCTCACACTCCACTCCACTGGCCTGCACTGGGATTTCTGTTCAGCTTGTGCTTCATCAGTGACATGAACACTAGACAAAAGACCTCAACTCTGGGCACTGCTCTTTAGGACATGCCAGAGAGTTAGAGGAGCATTCAGGGCAGACCTGTATGGACCAGTGATCAGAGGAGTGAGATCTGCTAAGAAAGCCTAAAAACTTTGGGGTGGAGATGAAGGAGGGAAGCCATGACAGTAGGCTTCAAACACAGAACAAGTTGGTACAAGGAGGATATAAATCATCTCCTTTCAAAGTCTAGGGGAGACAAGAGAGTCAAAAGACATGTGTTTTAACTGCATCAAAGAAGTTTCCAATTAGGAGCAGCAAAACTTTTATCAGTCATAGGAGTGGGAGAGAGAATGGCATTAATCTCTCCTGGCATTTCCCAGGCAGATTCAATAAAGCCTAGCAATGATTACAGAGCTACAGCTGCTCTTGATTTGGACACAAAACAGACTCACAGAGATTGGCAAGAAATCAGATAATAATTTTAATTTCATGTGCAATAAGTCTGCTGTGTCCAGAGTGTGGCAGGGCTATACACCCACTCATGCTGGATGCATTAACCCACTCAGAAGTGCACCCACTATCTCCATTTTAAGCAATTTTCAGTTGCAGTACTTAATGCCAAAATTTCAAATTTTAACATCGAGGGACAAAGCAGCTGAATCAGATATAGCTACTTCAGAACAACCTGCTTCATTATGGTACCAAGAGCAGAGTTGCAATTAAAGCTGTTTAGCAATGGCCATGATTCCAACCATTAACTGGCCAGAGTAGCTCCTTCCAAATATATCACTCTTCAGGGTTACTGTTAAGAGCAGTATAATGGTAGACGAAAGGCAAAAGTTTAATTTCAGTTTGTTTGTTTTATGCCGAGTTTGAGCTGAAACCTTTTCCGCTGCATTGTAAAAAAAAGTGGGCCCTATTTCCTTGAGGTTAATCTCAGCAACTCCGTGAGACTGCAAAAAAGACTTGTAGAGGACAAGACCACCCCATCCAGATACAGACCTGAAGATATTGGTGAGCAAAAGGGGTGGCACTTTCAAAAGCAGAGATCACATGACATCACCATAAAAGAAGGAAATGGATACCTAAAAGCATTCAACGTGGTACAAAATGCCACCTGGAGAACACACAGGAGCTGAACAAGTCCAGTAGGCACAAGAAATTTCTGCTCTTGGCAAGGCCACATGAAGCTCCTTCAGAAAGGCATCTGAGGTCTCTGGCACCAGAAAATTTTTCAAGCTAACCAGGCTGGAAATCACTTTCCTGTTTGCAGAGAGTTGTTCTCGGTTCCCAGAGCTGCCCATGGCCCATCCCAACACTCATCTCCCGAGGGACCTGGCTCCAGACATGAACTACAGCCTCTGCACCTCCTGCACAGCAGGGTCCTGGCCGCACCCAGCATTCCTCCACCCAGCACGCATCCATCCAGGCACAAGTCCTTGACCGCTCCTGTTCCCCATGCCAACACCTGTCACTGTTTCACTGATTCAAGGCAGTGAAGGGAGAAGGCTCACAGCTGACTCCAGTGACACAAACAGGCATTCTACTCCATCACCTGTAAGATATTCAAAGCCTTTTTTACGAGTTTCGTACAAACTAAGCCTGTGCAAACACAAGACCACTGTCTGTAAAGGATCACATTAGATGAATCTTGTGAGTCTCTCACAAGACTGTATTACAGTCTTAGCGTGGAAGCAGGGCACAAAAAGGCTGGGTGGATTGCAGAAGCAGCACTCAATTAAGCCAATTTAGACAGGCAGTATTTTTATTCCAAATAAAAGTTTGTAAGTTCTAACAGAAAGCTCTCAAGCTCTGTCTGCCTTCAGGTAAGCAACAGAGGGACAGACTAGCTGCCTCTGCTCTTGATCTCTGGATCATATGGGCCATTCACTGAAAGCTGGATTTGGTGACCCTTGTGGGTGCCTTGTAACTCAAAATATTCAGTGAAATCTGTGAAACACTATTGCAGTGATCAAAGAACAGACAGAGCTCTTCAAGAGACTACAATGTGGCACAGCATCTCCTGAAGAGACAAACTTGTACCCTTCCCCATCCAAATCCACAATGACACGCTCACACTCCTCAGAACACCTGGGCTCAGAGCCTTCCAGTTCATAGTGCACAATGGTTCCATTGCACAAATCCATTATGTGCATGGTGCATGCCCCATGCCGAACAACTGTTTTATGTTCTCTTGTGCTGCACACCTCTGAGCAGAGTAGAAAAACATGCCAATGAATTAATAATGGTTATGTTTGCTTCACACTCCCCCAGCTTCGTGCAAGAAGTCTCCTTTCTCCTCAAGACCTGTTCTCCACACGGCCTGTGTGGTATTCCTGCACAAAAGCTGCCCTGACATCAGGCTGAAATCCAGCCAAACCTCTGGAGATCTAGTCCCGGTGCACTCCCAAGGAAAGCATACAACATGACTACCAGAAAACCTTTTAAGTACTGTTTTCTACTGTTAATAGGCAGGTTTCCAAACTCTGCCTATACCTCTTACTTGCCACTCTGAAAAGCACTTCAGATGTTCAAGTGATCTAGCCTGACAAATAGGACTCCCTTTCTCCTCTGTCCTTACTCCCAGGGAATTAAGAGAATTTGATCAAATAAAAGACCTTTTCAGAAGTCTCAATCCCTTGAAAGTTAGGGGTAATTTGAAAAGCAGAGAGACCAAGAGAGAAAAAAATACACTGTCCTCATTCCTTCTCTTGTATGCAGGGTCAAAAGAGATAGAAAGGGGAGAAAAGAAGGAATTCAATTGCTAGAAGGAGGATTTTGAAAGTTACAATGAACACTTCAATCTCAAATGCCATCAAAACTTCATTTCCTTTTTACCTTCTTGTTTGGAATGCTAAACTTGCATTGCATTGGTAATGCCTCTTTCCTTTCAGCCTAATAATTTTTAAGTGATGTTTCTATGGCCGAAAAACCCAGAGGGGCAGCCTTGCAAGTCTTGAGAGAACTGTTTGCAATCACCCAAGGAGAAGCAGCAAGAGATTCAAACTTCCAACCTCATGCAAAAAAAGCAGATGGAAAGTGGCACAAGGATATACAGCTAGAAAACTCCTGAGAAGACACACATCCTCTTCTCAGTTCTGTACCACCAGTCCATGAAATAAAATCTTTATCTGCATGCAGCTCCAAGTAATAAAATCAAACAGAAGTAAGAATCATTGTCATTCCCAGAATCTGCCTAGATCCATTATTTTCTCTGGTGCCTTCTCTCCCTCTTTCTTGAAATCATCCATCATTTTCGTCCATCTTATCCTTCTCCTATTCTGCTAAAATCTCTCTCCTCCCCTCCACTTTTCTTCCACACTCAAAATTATTCTCTCAAAATTCATTCCTCCCCATCCAAAAATGAATAAGGTAACTTGATGCCTAAAGGTAAGAAGAGTCACTCTGGGAGACTCAAAAAGCCCTTTCAGCTACCTTGTCTCTGTCAATGACAATGAGATAACGCTTGCATCCAGATGACAAGAAAAAGATGTACATGAAGTCAGCTTCAGTAGTTCCTCACACTGAACACCAAGCTATGTACTGGAAATAGGGGATACATTTCCATTCCCAGTACCCCAGGACTTGTAGAAAGGAAACAGTTAAACACATAGTCTTAAATAAGGCAATTAATATATCATGAAATACTGCTGGTTTTTGGCCTGAGAGCCAGCTACATGCACTGTAAATTTCATGACATGGCTCCATACAGAGCAAACTGTACAAGAGAGCTCCATAAAAATTATTTCCCCTCTCCACACTCTGCAGTCCCCAGATTTATGTTGAAGCAGGAAGACAGGTGCTCCCCGCTCCCAAGCCAGGCTTCTGCATTCTGCACACAGGCACAGGGTCCTGTTTCAGTGTCTTTCTGCTTTAAGCAGACCATTGCCCCCTCTCCTGATCAGGGAGGTGTGACTCTTGCTGCATCGTTTCCTGATGAATCTTGGCAGAGGAACACCTGCTAAGCAGGCTGCTCTAAGACTTTCTGCTTTTACTAGCCAGCATCAGGGCACAGGGCACAGCTCTGATCAGGGAAGCAGTGCAGTGCAGTACATACCTCCTGCCAGCAAGGTTAATGAGTCTTACATGACCTGCAGAAGGCACCTGTCACCTGCATGGGACACACTAGCAAGACTCACATACAACAAGCACCTTCACTGGGATACAGCTGCTTTTAGCAGCTAACTAATCAACAAGAACAACTAAGTCCCAGGTCCACACAGCTGGACTGGGACAGTTTTGGCAAACACAAATACATCACATAATTGTATTTACTCTGAATTACGCTATTAATGCTTCTTTCACAGGGAAAATATCTCTCCCCCCAGGACCTGGTACTGCAACCCTGCCCCTGTGGTTAAGCAAGAGAATTCAAAGAGAGAGGCATTGAAAAAACAGTGTGCAGAGGTACTTCTCACTTCCAGACAGCTTTAATATCTTCAACCTCACATAGCTCCAAATGCATTCCTCACCATTTCTTCTTGCCTTATGCAGAGAAAGGGTGCTGGCTGCAACCCTGATAGGAGTACAGTGATCACAAAGCAAGCAAGCAATGAGAAAGGTGTCTGTTTGTTATGCTAGTCAGCAGGTGTCACTTTTTAGTAAAAGCAATCAGTGCAATTTCCAATCCCATGTGTCCTCATTTGCCACCAGCTATC